AGCGACCCCATAGGACAGAGTAGAACTGCCCCATAGGGTTCCAAGGCTGTGAATCTTTATGGAAGCCGACTACTACATCTTTCTCCCGTGGAGAGGCTAGTGAGTTAGAACTGCCGACCCTTCAGTTAGCAGCTGAGCACTTTAACCACTGTGCCACCAGGGCTCCTCGAATCTCTCACAGACACCTAACAAATCCAAAATTGAATTAATTTTCTTTCATTAAAAATCCTGTTTCTTCTTCATTTTCTAGCATTACATTCACCTAATCACAGACTTAGAAAATGGGGAGCTGTCCTTGAGTTCCACCTTTCTTGTAACCTCATGTCTAGAGAGGGACCTAATCTTTTTTTCTTTTTTTGGCTTTAACAAAGAGAAATTTATTTTCTCACTGTCCAGTAGGCTACAAGTCCAAGTTCAGGGCATCATCTCCAGGAGAAGGCTTTCTCTCTCTGTCGGCTCTGGAGAGAAGGTCCTTGTGATACATCAGTCTTCCCTTGGTCTGGGAGCGTCTCAGCACAGGAACCTCAGGTCCAAAGAACACGCTCTGCTCCTGGCACTGCTTTCTTTTTTTATTGTTGTAGTTTAAATGAAGTTTACATTTCAAGTTAGTCTCCCATATAAAAATTTATACACACATTGTTATGTGGCTCTAATTGCTTTCCCCATACTGATAGCATACTTCTTTCCACCCCTGATTCCCCATGTCCATTCAACCAGCTTCTAACCCTCTCTGCCTTCCCATCTCACCTCCGGACAGAAGTAGCCCGTTTAGTCTCTTGTATCTACTTTAGGGACCTAATCTTATCAATTTACTTTACCTCCTTCAAAATTTTTCTTATTTCTTTTCTCTTCTTCCCCCCTCACACCCATCGTGATCCTTCGCTCTACGTTATTAACTGATAGCAGACACAAGGAACCAAATGTAGATAAAAATAAGTCAGTTTTATTTAGGGTCTCTGGTAAAAGCTACATTTGAGAATGGATGAGGTTTTCTTCCTAGTCCTAGGGGTTCACCCCCAGCCTCACAGTCCATCCAGCCCAGGAGAGAGAGAGGCTGCTATGCAGGATTCTGACCCAGATGTACTTACCATATGGAAGCAGGAGAAGAACAATGTAATGTGCCCTGCTCAAGGGCTACAGGTTTGAGAGAGAAGACGCAAGGCCACATATGACCAGAAGCCCTGAAATGTGGCCAGTTGCAGAGAAGCAACAAAAGGGGTGGATGGAGTGAGCTGTCTCCTGAGAGTGGAGAAGTTACTTTACTCATTAGGCGAGAGGGTAAACGTATTCCCCATTACCAGCTTTCCTGCCCCCTCCTGCCTTCTCATCCTTGCCTCTGGACTGGTGTATCCATTTAGTCTTGTTTTGTTTGATGGGCCTTTGGCTGAAGGTTGAACCTCAGGAGTGACTTCATTACTGAGCTATAAGAGTGTCCGGGGCCATACTCTCGGAGTTTCTCCAGTCTCTGTCAGGCCAGTAAGTCTGGTCTTTTTTTGTGAATTAGAATTTTGTTCTGCATTTTTCTCCACCTCAGCCTGGGACCCTCTGTTGTGATCCCTGTCAGAGCAGTTGGTGGTAGTAGCCGGGCACCATCTAGTTGTGCTGAACTCAGTCTGGTGGAGGCTGTGATAGTTGTGGTCCATTAGTCCTTTGGACTAATCTTTCCCTCGCTTCTTTGGCTTTCTTCATTCTCCCTTGCTCCAGATGGAATTTTGTTTTGTTTTTAGTCTCTAATTTTTTATTTTATTTTACCCTTTTTCTTTAATGATGATTTTCTTAGATATACAGCTATATATAGTTACTGTCAAGTTTTCTTTTTTCTCCTTTTCTGCTATTACTGGCTTGAGAATTATATATTCTATCAATTTTCAATCTTTTTAAATTTATGAAATTAAGGATATTAATTGTCCTTAAATATTGGGAATAGTCCCATTCCACAATATCTAATATGTAATTTTAAAATTTTTATTTAGTTCAAAATATTTTCTAGTTCCCATGTGGTATCTTCCTTGATGCATTGGTTATTTAGAAGTATGTTTATTAATTTCTAAACTCTATGACCATGTGACTTGCATTGGCCAAAGAGACATCAGCAAATGTGTCTCAAGGGGATGCTGGATAAATACTTGTGCACTGGACGCTATGTGACTGTGTGTGAAGAAGCCTGGTCTAGCCTCCTTAAGGATGAGATGCCACTAGGAAAGAGAGGCCTAGCAATCCCAGCTGAGCCAAGCTGACCCACCAGCCAAATGCAGCCATATGAATGAGCCCAGGAGAAGCCACCACCCAGCCAGCACACAGGATTTTGAGAGGTTAATTGTTTGTTGTGTTAAGCCACTAAGTTTTAGGGTGGTTTGTTAATGCAGCAACAGATGACAGATACACTATTATATTTTAGTGGCCCTTTTGTTTCCTTGTGTGTTATCTTCACTTTGTAATAACATATGATTCCTGATGCCTGTCTTTTTTCCCTCTAAATTACATTTTAATTATTTCCTACTGAATAATTAAGTAGTGAAGACATCCTAGAGGAATTTATTTAGAGTAATTAATCACAGTTTGTTGTACTGTGTCGTACTGTGGTGGCTTGTGTGTTGCTGTGATGCTGGAAGCTATGCCACTGGTATTTCAAATAACAGCAGGGCACCCATGGTGGGTGGGTTTCAGCTGAGCTTCCAGACTAAGACAGACTAGGAAGAAGGACATTGCAGTCTACTTCTGAAGAACATTAGCCAGTGAAAAGCTTATGAATAGCAGTGGAACATTGTCTGATACAGTGCTGGAAGATGGGCCTCTCAGGTTGGAAGGCACTCAGAATATGACTGGGGAAGAGCTGCCTTCTAAAGTAGAGTTGACCTTAATGACATGGATGGACTCAAGCTTTGAGGACCTTCATTTTTCTGATGTGGCACAACTTAAAATGAGAAGAAACAGCTGCAAAGATCCATTAATAATCGGAACATGGAATGTACGAAGTATGAATCTAGGAAAATTGGGAATCGTCAGAAATAAAAACGGAACCATAAACATTGCTAGGCATCAGTGAGCTGAAATGGATTGGTATTGGCCATTTTGAATTGGACAGTCATATGGTCTCTTATGCCGGGAATGACAGCTTGAAGAGGAATGGTATTGCATTCATCATCAAAAAGAACATTTCAAGATCTATCCTGAAGTACAGCGCTGTCAGTGATAGGATAATATCCATAAGCCTGCAAGGAGGGATCAGTCCCTGGAGAAGGACATCATGCTTGGTAAAGTAGAGGGTCAGCAAAAAAGAGGAAGACCCTCAATGAGATGGACTGACACAGTGGCTGCAACAATGGGTTCAAGCATAACAACAAATGTGAGGATGTTGCAGGACCGGGCAGTGTTTTGTTCTGTCATCACGAGTTGGAACCAACTCAACAGCACCTAACAACAACAGCAACAACAACAACAGTTAATCATATTAAATTTAAACAGTGAAGACATGGGAGAATAATTGGTTTAGAGTAATTAATCATATAAATCAACCCATTGTGTCCTTGAGGTATTGTAAGAGAAAATGAAATTGCATTTTAAACTAAGTTCTGCCTGTTTTGGACTTTTCACATTGCTTCTTGTTTACAAAAATTGATGACTGCTTATGTTTTATATTTTCACTTAAGAGCTGTGGTTCCTGAAATCTTCCAAAGTTTAGCATAAACAATTCATACAGTTACTTTGACTTATAATATTTAAACAGTGTAAGCTTGGAAATGAAGAGTTTTAACTGTATCTTCAATGAAGCCACATAATAGAAAATAATGCAGATGACTCATGCTTCAAAGTAAGGAAAAAAATTTTCTGGTACAGCTTGTACCAGACTATGATAAACAATTTCTTTTTTTTATTTAAAATGTTTTGAAACCCAGCGATGAGTTATATCCAGTTGTAAATAAGGATATTTGAATTGCTGTATTCTCGGTTGCATTTTTCTCCTTGGTGAAAAAAAGCCAGCTATGAAAAAACCAACTGTTCTCGTTTTGTGGAATCCCTGAATTAATGCCACTGGTGTCATAAAAATTGAAAATAAAGACGAGAAAGGGGCAGCAATTCTTTATTAAAATTTTGTGTTTCATATAAACTGAATTACTATAACTAGTCTGGTTTTTATCTTGCATTTGCAAATATTATTCTGGAAGATTTGGTGATTACTCCCTCTTTTAATGATGCTAATATTAACATTGCAATAAATGTGGTACAAAAGGAGCACAAACCTGGACTCTTGTGAGCTGAGTGTTTTATCCTGATGATGCCACTGACCAGGTTTGTGACCTTTGGGAAGTTACCTCCCTGCACCAAATGTTCTCATCAGTAAAAAGTGGGCACTTCGTTAGGTGAGCTCCATCTCTAAAAGTCTATTAATTCTGTGACTTCAGAGGGCTAGAGTACACTGCTCTGCCATAGCCTGTTCAGGGGAAAGCATGATTTTGAAAGTTAGCATAGTGTTCCCTTTCCCTATTCATACACAATATTGGATGGACCACGTTTGATCTTTGTGCGTCACCCATGCTAATGAATAGTCAATGGAAGAATTTGTAATTATTTCCAGAGCTATGCTGAACTGACTGCATAATATACATATGTTAACATCTAAGAGACCAAAAACCAAACTCAGGATATATTCAATGTAACTTTCTAGAGATCAGCCTTTTGTATAAAATGTATTCTAACAAATAGTGAGAAATTTCAAGAGCCTATGTTTTCCAATTTTGATATAATTAAAAATTAGTGTTTTCCCTAAGCTTTTATTATTTTTCCTTGTTTTAGATTGGGTACCCAATTTTAATTTATTAAAAAACAAAATAAACTTACTTATATAATTTTTTTAAGAGATACCTTTAGTACACTTCTCTGTGTAATTTTGATGTTTGATGATAGAGAATGGATGTTAAGAAAACTACTTCTGCCTAAGAATTATGCATAAAAGCTGCTGAACTACTTTATTTTCAAAATTGTTCCTTATTTCTTTACAGAACATTAGCCCTGATTAAACCAGATGCAGTGTCAAAGGCTGGAGAAATAATTGAAATAATAAACAAAGCTGGATTTACTATAACAAAACTCAAAATGATGATGCTTTCAAGGTAATTTGTTGATTATTTTGTTATGTAATGTCTGTTTCTTTTTTTAAAAAATTTTATTGTGGTGAAAATATACACAACAAAACATTTGCAAATTCAACAATTTCTACATGTATAATTCAGTGATATTGATTACGTTCTTCATGTTTTACAGCCATTATCACTATCCTTTTCTGATATCTGGTCCTTTTTTTAAAAATCACTTTCTATCTTTCATACTGTTGTTTAGCATAAAATCCGTCAATTGAATGGCAAAGAATAGAATACTAGTGTATTATAACAGGTCTTGAATTCATGAATAACAAATAATAATTGAACCTAAGCATAGTAGGAGTTGTTAGGTTCTATATGCCTGATTTATTCGTTGTCTTCCTTAGTCCCATCTGCTTCATAACACCAATCCTTGATAATTATAATTTTTTCTCTTAACATGGAAGTATAACATACTGGGTAAAGACAATAGAAGAGAAAATGAATGTCTGATTATTTCTATTTGCCAATGGAGTGCATAGTGTTAGTTTTGAGATTTCAAAAAGCAATGCATTTGGAAATTTTTATGTTGACTCCTCTCTTTTACCTCTTTACTACTCTGAAAAGCAGTCCATCCTACCTTACCAGATGGTTTCTAAGTCATTTAGTAAAAATAAGATTTATTCTAAGATACAGCTATTGGTCTCCTCCCATCTGGAGCAAAAGAGAATGACCAAAAAAAACCAAACCCATTGCTGTCGAGTCAATTCTGACTCACAGCGACCCTATAGGACAGAGTAGAACTGCCCTACAGGATTTCCAAGGAGCAGCTAGTAGATTTGAACTGCCGACCTTTTGGTTAGCAGCCAAATGCTTAACCACTGCCCCAGAAACCTAAAACTCAAGGAAACAATTAGTCTATAAGATTAATGGCCCTCACGAACCACAGCCCTCTATAGCTTGAGACTAGAAGAACTAGATGGTGCCCAGCTACCACTACCAACTGCTCTGCCCAGGGACACAATAGAAGGTCTTGGTTAGAATGGGATAAAAATGTTGAAAACTCAAATTCATAAAAAAAAACCCAGACTTACTGGGCTGATAGAGACTGTAGGAACCCCTGAGACTATTGCCCTAAGAAACCTTTTTAGTCTAAATCTGAAGGTACTCCTGGAGGTCATGTTTCAGCCAGTAGGTTGGCTTATAAAATAAACAATAACATGCGTAAGGAATGTGCTTCTTAGAACAATCAACCATATGAGACCAAACAAGCAACATTTGCCCAAAGCAAAGATGAGAAGGGAAGGAGGGGCAGGGAAACTGGATGAATGGAAATGGGGAAGGCATGGTGGAAATGGGGAGAATGCTGCCACATTGCAGGGACAGCAAACAATGTCACAGAACATTTTGTGTATAAATTGTTGAATGGTAAATTAATTTACTGTGTAAACCTTCACCTAGAACACAATAAAATGTTAAAAAAAAAAAAAAATACTTATCCATCCTACTTGGCCATCTCTATCACTAAGTAAGTAACTACAATCCAGTGGTAAAGTTGCATTTCTACCTGGACATATTACAATGTTAAAACAAAGAATAGAGAATGGGGACAAGCTTCTCTTCAGTTTTGTAGAGATCCTTTGGAAAAAGACACACTAATGGTCTTTCCACAGTGTTGGACAGCCATTTTTTTTTTTTTAATTTTCTACTTAGGCCAAGAAATGATTGAAACATTCCCGAGGATGAAGAAGGGAAGTAGGCCTTCTGTTAGGGCTGAAGCCTGCTTTCCCTCAGGTCACATTCTGGTTGCTTGAGTTTTTCACACTTACAAGCGGCACCAGTGACTACAGGGACATTAATATAGCACTTAGGCAGAACTGGCCCTGGCAGTGGTCTTACCTTACTCACTAGTTTTTTGTTTTTCTTGTCAGGTGTCTTCTCACTGCCTTGGGAAATTATCTGTTTCTGTTCATGGGACAGGTGATTTTTTGTCTTTGTGAGAACAGGTACAATGAATAGCTGTAGACATTCAGCTCAGGTTCCATAACTCAGATCCCTAGAAACCTTAACAAAATACCCTCAATTTTAGCCCCCCCCCCCATGACATATATTTAATTTGAATTTTCCCCTAGATAACATCTCCCAGTTTACATATTTTTTAGAGAGACAGTAGGCTTATATTTCAGAGCACAGACTCTAGAACCACATTGCTTATACCTGTGATGCTTACTAGATGTGTGACTAATTAATTTGCCTCTGTGCTTCAGTTTCTTCATCTGTAAAATTGGGGTTATAAGAGAACCTATATGATAAAGTTGGAATCAACTTGATGGCAGTGGGTTTGGTTTTGGTTTATATCATTAGGTGGAGCCCTGGTGGTGCAATGATTAAGAGATTCACTGCTAATTAAAAGATCGGCAGTTCGAATCCACCAGCCACTCCTTGGAAATCCTTGCTCCTTGGGGCAGTTCTTCTCTGTTCCGTGGGGTTGCTATGAGTCAGAATTGACTCGACGGCAATGGATGACTATATCATAAAGTAGTTATGAGGATTAGAAAACCAAATCCATTGCTGTTAAGTCGATTTTGACTCATGGCGACCCCGTGTGTTACAGAGTAGAACTGCTCTAGAAGGTTTTCTTGGCTGTAATCTTTTTTTTTTTAATTGTGCCGTAGGTGAAATTTTACAGACCAAATTTGTCTCTTGTTCAACAATTTCTGTACAAATTGTTTTGTGACATTGGTTGCAATCCCTGTGATGTATCAATACTCTCCCCTTCCATACTGCAGTTGCCCATTTCCATCAGTCCATTTTTCCTGTCCCTCCCTGCCTTCTTGTCATTGCTTTTGGGAAGATTTTGCCCTTTTTGTCTCGTACACGTGACTGAACTAAGAAGTACGTTCCTGATGTGTGTTAGTGTTTGTTTTATAGGCCTGAAAGGTGAACTTTGGGAGTGGCTTCAGTTCTGAGTTAAAGGGTGTCTGGGGGCCGTAGTGTCGAGGGTTCCTCCAGTCTCTGTCAGACCAGTATTGGCTGTAATTTTTATCAAAGCAGATTGCCAGGCCTTTCTTCCATGGTACCGCTGGATGGGTTCGAACCTTTAGGTTAGTAGCTGAGAGCAAACCCTTTGCACCGCTCAGGGACCTTATTGTGAGAGTTACATGAGTTTAATATATGTAAAGTTCTTTGAAAAACCCTGGTGTATAGTAAGTGTATATAAATGTTAGCTGTTAATGTTAGTAATGTAGTACTAATGATGTGATTATTATTTAGTGAGAATTGAGGGGTCACTATGAGTTGGAATTGACTTGACAGCAGCAGGTTTGGTTTGGTTGGAAGTCATGAAGCTTTATAAGCAGTCACATTTGCCCTATTTCTGCAAGTATTGAGAATGCTTGCTTTTAAAGCAGGTAATGGGGCTGAAATTCTGCAGAGATGTCTTTGAATATTTTTAGTGAGATTAAAATTTTTCATGTTTCAAAGAAGAGATTGAAAAGGTTATTAAAAAACTCCCCCCCAAGGAAAACCCTGGCCCAGATGGCTTCACTGGAGAATTCTACCAAACTTTCAGAGAAGAGATAACAACACCACTTCTACTAAAGGTATTTCAGAGCATAGAAAAGGATGGAATACTCCCAAACTCATTCTATGAAGCCAGCATAACCCCGATACCAAAACCAGATAAAGACACCACAAAAAAAGAAAATTACAGAAAGATACCCCTTATGAACATTGACACAAAAATCCTCAACAAAATTTTAGCCAGTAGAATTCAGCAACATATCAAAAAAATAATTCACCATGA